CTGCGTGGACAAGTACGCCCACCAGTTTGCCGACTGCGCCTACAAGGACCTTCAAGTGGTGCCTACAGGGTTGCCCTCCAACGTGACCACCCTCAGCCTCTCAGCCAACAAGATCACCTCGCTGCAAAGGCGTTCCTTTGTGGAGGTGACCCAGGTCACCTCTCTCTGGTTGGCACACAACGAGATCCGCTCCATCGAGCCCGGTACCTTCGCCATCCTAGTGCAGCTGAAAAACCTCGACATCAGCCACAACCAGATTGTGGACTTCCCCTGGCAGGACCTCTACAACCTCAGCGCTCTCCAGCTGCTCAAGATGAACAATAACCACATGGCTCTGGTGCCTCAGGGGGCTTTCCACACCCTGAAGGACCTCCGGTCCCTACGCATCAACAACAACAAGTTCACCACCCTTGCAGAAGGTATCTTCGACTCACTTAGTTCCCTCTCTCACCTGCAGATCTACAACAACCCCTTTGAGTGCTCCTGCAAGCTCCAGTGGTTGAAGAAATGGATGGACAGCACGCTCATCTCCATCCCTGAGAAGGACTCCATCACTTGTGCCCTCCCTGAGCAGCTCCGAGGAGTGCCAGTGGGGAAGATCCCAGATGTGCAGTGCACCTCGCCTACCATGCAGCTCACCTATTACCCCAACCTGGACACCACAGAGCTCTTTGATGGCTTCACCCTGACGCTGCACTGTACTGTGACGGGCACCCCGACACCCGAAGTGAGCTGGAAGATCCGCACCTCCAGCCAAACCCTGGAGCTCAATGGGAACCCGAAGGAGAGCGCTGGGAAAGACGTCCCTAAACAGGATCCCGAGCGCTTCTTGGTCTTCAAGAATGGCACGTTGGTGATTCCCCACCTGAGCAAGCGGGAAGAAGGCACCTACACCTGCCTGGCCACCAACGAAATGGGGAGCAACCAGACCTCAGTCAACGTGGCTGTGGCAGGCACCCAGAAATACCCGCTGCAGCCTGGGAGGGACCCGCTGCTGGGTAAAGCACAGCCAGGTGACAAGAAGCCTGGGGCCAAGGGAGCAAAGAACAGTGTACTCATGCCAGATGAGAGGAGCAAACCCCTCGGTCCCACCCGTCAGAGCCAACCATCCCCAGTGGCTGGGACAGAGTCCACAGGAGACGGGCAAGTCCCCTTCCAGCTTCCATCCTTTGAGAAGAAGTGTGGCTCCACGCAAACCAGCAAGTACATTTCCAACCATGCCTTCAACCAGAGTGGCGACTTCAAGCAGCACACGTTTGACCTGGGGGTGATCGCCTTAGATGTGTCAGAGCGCGATGCCCGGGTGCAGCTCACGCCTACCTACATGCAGCCTGAGAAGGTCCACCTCAGGATGCTCTACCTGTGCCAGGAGAGCAGCCAGGGCCACGCCTTGGTCCAGTGGTCCAAGATCGAGGAAGGGGTGAACTCGTACTGGTTTCAGGGCTTGAACCCCGGCACCAACTACTCTGTGTGTCTCACCTACCTGGGGGAAGACTGCCAGGTCCAAGTGGTCTTCACCACCAAAAAAGAGATCCCCTCACTCATCATCATTGTGGTTGTGAGCATCTTCTTGCTGGTGCTGGCCACCTTACCCCTGATGGGGGCCACGTGGTGCCACCTCCTTTCCAAGTACCAAGGGAAGACCTACAAGCTCATCATGAAGGCCCAGAACCCGGATCAAATGGAAAAGCACATGGCCGCTGACTTTGACCCCCGCGCCTCCTACCTGGAGTCCGAGAAGAACTACAATCCCAGTGAGGTGGGGGAAGTGGACGTGGAGGAAGAAGATGATGAGGAGGAGGACGATGACGA